CACCCCCCTGATAAACCCTAAATGAGGGTCCCATGCACAGGACCTGTTCTTTCACTGTGGGCATGGTGGGGACCCCCCATTTGGGGTGGTGGAGGGGTGCAGCCTGAGCCCCCCCTTGCCCAGAACACGGGTGCAGAGCTGGGGGGGGGACACACACAACACAAGGGGTCATCACACCCCCAAACCGTAGCAAACCACCCCCCTGATAAACCCTAAACAAGGGGTCCCATGCACAGGACCTGTTTTTTCACTGTGGGGATGGTAGGGACCCCCCATTTGGGTTGGTGGAGGGGTGCAGCCCCAGCCCCCCCTTGCCCAGAATAGGGGTGCAGAGCTGGGGGGGGGGACACACACAACACAAGGGGTCATCACACCCCCAAACCGTAGCAAACCACCTCCCTGATAGACCCTAAATGAGGGTCCCATGCACAGGACCTGTTTCCTCACTGCGGTGATAGTGGGGACCCCCCATTTGGGGTGGTGGAGGGGTGCAGCCTGAGCCCCACCTTGCCCAGAACACGGGTGCAGAGCTGGGGGGGGGACACACACAACACAAGGGGTCATCACACCCCCAAACCGTAGCAAACCACCTCCCTGATAAACCCTAAATGAGGGTCCCATGCACAGGACCTGTTTCCCCACTGTAGGGATGGTGGGGACCCCCCATTTGGGGTGGTGGAGGGGTGCAGCCCCAGCCCCCCCTTGCCCAGAATAGGGGTGCAGAGCTGGGGGGGGGGACACACACAACACAAAGGGTCATCACACCCCCAAACCATATCAAACCACCCCCCTGCTAAACCCTAAATGAGGGTCCCATGCACAGGACCTGTTCTTTCACTGTGGGCATGGTGGGGATCCCCCATTTGGGGTGGTGGAGGAGTGCAGCCCCAGCCCCCCCCTTGCCCAGAATAGGGGTGCAGGGCTGGGGGGGGGGACACACGACACAAGGGGTCATCACAGCCCCAAACCTTAGCAAACCACCCCCCTGATAAACCCTAAATGAGGGTCCCATGCACAGGACCTGTTCTTTCACTGTGGGCATGGTGGGGATCCCCCATTTGGGGTGGTGGAGGAGTGCAGCCCCAGCCCCCCCCTTGCCCAGAATAGGGGTGCAGGGCTGGGGGGGGGGACACACGACACAAGGGGTCATCACAGCCCCAAACCTTAGCAAACCACCCCCCTGATAAACCCTAAACCAAGGTCCCATGCACAGGACGTGTTTCCCCACTGCAGTGATGGTGGGGACCCCCCATTTGGGGTGGTGGAGGGGTGCAGCCCCAGCCCCTCCTTGCCCAGAATAGGGGTGCAGGGCCGGGGAGGGGGGGACACACAACACAAGGGGTCATCGCACCCCCAAACCATATCAAACCACTCCCCTGATAAACCCTAAACGAGGGTCCCATGCACAGGACCTGTTTCCCCACTGCGGTGATGGTGGGGACCCCCCATTTGGGGTGGTGGAGGAGTGCAGCCCCAGCCCCCCCCTTGCCCAGAATAGGGGTGCAGGGCTGGGGGGGGGAGACACACAACACAAGGGGTCATCACACCCCCAAACTGTAGCAAACCACCCCCCTGATAAACCCTAAACCAAGGTCCCATGCACAGGACGTGTTTCCCCACTGCAGTGATGGTGGGGACCCCCCATTTGGGGTGGTGGAGGGGTGCAGCCCCAGCCCCTCCTTGCCCAGAATAGGGGTGCAGGGCCGGGGAGGGGGGGACACACAACACAAGGGGTCATCGCACCCCCAAACCATATCAAACCACTCCCCTGATAAACCCTAAACGAGGGTCCCATGCACAGGACCTGTTTCCCCACTGCGGTGATAGTGGGGACCCCCCATTTGGGGTGGTGGAGGGGTGCAGCCTGAGCCCCACCTTGCCCAGAACACGGGTGCAGAGCTGGGGGGGGGACACACACAACACAAGGGGTCATCACACCCCCAAACCGTAGCAAACCACCTCCCTGATAAACCCTAAATGAGGGTCCCATGCACAGGACCTGTTTCCCCACTGTAGGGATGGTGGGGACCCCCCATTTGGGGTGGTGGAGGGGTGCAGCCCCAGCCCCCCCTTGCCCAGAATAGGGGTGCAGAGCTGGGGGGGGGGACACACACAACACAAAGGGTCATCACACCCCCAAACCATATCAAACCACCCCCCTGCTAAACCCTAAATGAGGGTCCCATGCACAGGACCTGTTCTTTCACTGTGGGCATGGTGGGGATCCCCCATTTGGGGTGGTGGAGGGGTGCAGCCCCAGTCCCTCCTTGCCCAGAATAGGGGTGCAGGGCTGGGGGGGGGGACACACGACACAAGGGGTCATCACAGCCCCAAACCTTAGCAAACCACCCCCCTGATAAACCCTAAACCAAGGTCCCATGCACAGGACGTGTTTCCCCACTGCAGTGATGGTGGGGACCCCCCATTTGGGGTGGTGGAGGGGTGCAGCCCCAGCCCCTCCTTGCCCAGAATAGGGGTGCAGGGCCGGGGAGGGGGGGACACACAACACAAGGGGTCATCGCACCCCCAAACCATATCAAACCACTCCCCTGATAAACCCTAAACGAGGGTCCCATGCACAGGACCTGTTTCCTCACTGCGGTGATAGTGGGGACCCCCCATTTGGGGTGGTGGAGGGGTGCAGCCTGAGCCCCCCCTTGCCCAGAACACGGGTGCAGAGCTGGGGGGGGGACACACACAACACAAGGGGTCATCACACCCCCAAACCGTAGCAAACCACCCCCCTGATAAACCCTAAACCAGGGTCCCATGCACAGGACGTGTTTCCTCACTGTAGGGATGGTGGGGACTCCCCATTTGGGGTGGTGGAGGGGTGCAGCCCCAGCCACCCCTTGCCCAGAATAGGGGTTCAGGGCTGGGGGGGGACACACACGGCTTACCCAGCCCCATTTTGCAGGTGTAGGAGAGGTGGTAGTTGCAGGGGACGTCGCTCCACTGGCCCCCGTCGTGCCACACGATGACCACGCAGTTCTCCCCGGAGAGGAAATAGCTGTCGGGCTGCCCGGGGTGCCAGTTCTCGTAGAGCTGGGGGGGGGACAGGCGGGACGGGGTGCATGGGGCACCCCAGCACACTATTTAAGGCGGGGGGGGGGAACCTCACCCATCCGCAGCCTCCTGGCCGTGACATGCCCCCTAGGACCCCAAATCCAGGGGTCTGGCTCACCCACAGCACCCCGGAGGATGCTCAGCCCAGTCGAAGCTCTTTTTTGGGGGGGCTGACCCATCCCTCGGGCACGTTCCCAAGCGATGGAGAAGGATGAGGAGGTGCCTGGTGGGGGTGATCTTCTCCCCGGGGGGGGCACTCAGGGGCTGG